ATAACGTCGCGAGTAATAACAACATGCTATCAATAGTTTTATTTGTTTCGTTCTCCAAGTGTCAGACGTTTCTCTAGGAAACAGTCATCTTGTGCTGTTTTATTTGCATTTTATCTCCAAAGTTGTTGTCTTTATTTTGTAAGACACAAAGAGCCAGTTATTGTCTACCTTCCCTGCAGCTTCTTTGATGCCTCTAAACTTTCTCTTTGCCATGAAATCTTTTTAAATGTTAACTAAATAAATGCTTACTAAGTAAAAACCATTTAAGGAGCGGCTATTACGTAAAATGTCGGTTTTTGTAACTTCATATAAAAGATAAGATATAGATATAACAACACACAGGAGCGTAAATAGTATAAACACACATATAACTAACAGCGTAATATATTTTTTTTTATTTAAAACACACAAAGTAATAAAGTCTCACATACATTCAAAATAAATATTCAAATAATAATATTTTAAGACTTATAGATATTACATCCAAAATTAACAAAAAAAAAGAAATTCCCACCCGCGTCAAATGCCACACTTTTTTGCTGTCGAACATAGCACCTCATTATAACACGTAACCCGTCTACAATAATATCGACAAATGCCAATCAATCTCATAACACGTCCCTAGTGATTAGTTACGTACCACTAATTATCGAGGCCCAAGCTATCGAGTAACACGATAACTGTTTCTTATTGTGGTTATCTATGAAACGCAACGTCGATATCGATTCGCCGCGAGTCGCGTTTAATTTCGACAAATCCCAAGTATCTACAGTAAATGAAAGAATTTCATATAGAATTAATAAGTTTTTTACGCTTTCTAGATAAACAGCTAATATACAATCTAAACTTAACTGACTACATTCTATTAGTAATAAAAATATATAGGGGATAAAGGGACCCCTTTTAATAATATATTTTAGTTATTATATTATGTTTTTTAAGCTTTTTAATTTTAGGTTCTTAGTTGTACAGTTAAGTTATGTTAATTACATTGTATATAGATATTTTCCGGTTTAAACATTAAACTACTTAAGAAAGTCATTAAAAAATATATGTATATTTAATCAGTAAATATTTACATGTGTTTGAAATTATAAAATTTTTGCTGCTAACAAATTCATTAACACTATAAAAAGATTGTTCCAACAGAAAAGAACACAACATTCCCTTATAAAACTTCCAATTATGTATTATCTTTAAACTATTGCGCAAAGAGTTAAGTTTTAAACCTTACTGCTTGGAATCTTCACCGTGCTTCAGATTCCAAGATCACACTAATTCACTATTAGATTGTATCAGATCATAAGTACAGGAAATTAAGAATATAATCAATATTATTTATAATCAACCGTATCAAACAAGCCTAGACAGTTTGGTTTCTAAAAAACTTGTCAATTAAAATGTTTGCATAGTTATTCAAAACTTGATTTCGTTATTCTACATCTGATATCTCAAAGTTTTACGAAATATCGAACTTAAAATAACCTGTTACTATTCGATCCATGCCCTTAAACTGCAGCGATTAATGTAATCAGTATCATTAATTTCATCGATAGTTTGTTTTGGAATATTTTCAAAGGGCATGCGTATCGATAACAGATCGACAAAAATTATTACTATCCACGAAGTAAGTTTACCGGCAACCGTACATTCGAATTAGCTTGATTTATTCGATTAACTTTATCGACAAGAGACAAAACCATGCTCCTACACTAGCTCAATAAGAGCGTACATCAAAATCAAAATGTCAAATAAATCTATTATTTATTTCATTAGACACAGAGGTCATATTATGTTGTTTCAACAATTTTTGTATAGAACGACAAATAAGTTGGCTTTTATCTTATAAATGAGATAATAGATAAGAAAGCATGGAACATCCAATGCGATTCTATAGTTATACTATACCAAATTGGTCCGTTTATATTAAAAGTAATAAAATAAAATATAATTTCAAAGAGGAATTTCTAATTCTACTAGCTAGGATTAACTTTATTTTTCGAAAATAAAAGATTTTTATAAAATAAAATTAGTTAGTCGTTATTACATCAGTTACCTTCCAAAAGCAGCCCCGTGAAAATCGGTCCAGCTATTTTAGAGATTAGCCGGAACAAACAGACCGACAGACAGACAGACAGACAAAAATTGTAAGAAGTGTTTTTTTGGTGTACCTTATGTACCCTATTTATATATTCATATCCATGTAGTAAAAAACGGTTATTTAAATATTACAAACAGACACTCCAATTTTATTTATATGTATAGATAAAACCATGTTAACTTTTATAATAATTTTATATTTCTAATTAATTACAATTTAGTAAAAATATAATATTATATATTCTTTTATAAATTATATTTTTTGTTTTTAATAAGATCATCATCCATCATCATCTTTGTCATCATCGGTGGCTTAATTTGAAAATTAAATAATTTGTAATTTAACTGTTTTATTTAGTTATAAAGTAATCGAATATAGCATGTAGGAATTAATATAGTACAGGGATGGATAATCAAACAACATACTACTGATTATAGATAGAATAATTTGTACTAAATTTATCCATACACTAAATACTTATACTTGATACTACGTCTTATATACTTATTCTTTTTTTAATTTGAGTATCCAATGCGGAATAGTCTCTATATACTAGAAAGGTAGGTACTTACAATAGAAATGTATGGGTGGTCCCGGCGAGATGTCAACTTGAGTAACATTCTGCTTTTCGTTTATTACAATATATTTCACTTTTATTACTTATCGAATAAAATATGACTAAGAAGTTATATATATGGCACCGCTATATTAAGTGCCTGTCAATAAAGTCCAATTTAAATTAAATAAACTGTTAATTAAGTAATTAATAATATTAATTTATTATATTCTCTATTATCATAGCGTCAACTCATTAATCGCTCACATATAGTCAAATGCCCAAACGGGCATTTGACTATATGTCCTAAGAATATAAAACCCTAGTCTAATCTTATATATAAAATTCTCGTGTCACAGTTTTCGTTCCCATACTCCTCCGAAACGGCTTGACCGATTCTCATGAAATTTTGTGAGCGTATTGAGTAGGTCTGAGAATCGGCCAACATCTATTTTTCATCCCCCTAAATGTTAGGGGTAGTCCACCCCTAAATTTTTTTAATTTTATTTTAAGGCAAAAGTAAGTTTATGTTTGCCGGGACAGCTAGTATAATATAACAAAAGATTAACGTGAGTAGGTATATTCCAGGTATTAATATTAATAGATCCATCATAAAAGTTTCGCTACCTGATCTTTTTCAACAAATATTAAATGGAACATCTGGTGGAGAGTGGTGAAATTGGCGTGTCTAATCGGTTTATAATGACGCCATATCTTTTCGGTGTAATTGAAAGGGATCGCGCCATTGCGGATGTAGAAGTGATGAGCCATGCACTACGTAAGTTTTGTATGGACATGCCCATTTATGTATCTTCACGCCAGACTACAGAGGAAGTCGTAGACAGAGAGAATTGTGTAGAAAAAATCCTTATATCCTTAGACATAATTTTTGCCTCATCAACATCATTCATTGGATTTACATCAAGTGCTCTTGATATCTCCCTAAGACTAAATAATTACTAATATTCCCCTCTCCCCTATAAATTAATAATATATTGTACGCTTTAAATACATTATTAAGTTTAAATAATTAATTATGTATTTTAAATGTAACCAGTACATTGTACTCAAAAACGTTTAGAATACTGTATAAGTTTTTTTATAGATTTGTAAATAGCTGTATATTATACATTGATTGAATTAAGATAAAAATATTATCGTTTTATAATTAGTATTACTATTGCACATTTACCTACATAAAACATTGAAACAATCAACAAGTCAAATTAAATTAAAGTTAAAATTAATGACTAAAAATTATAGAAGCAAATAACAAAAAACATTTTTATTAATTTTAGAATTTCTTAGAATTATATTTTAAATCAGATATTGCACTGTCCTATCCACGTTAATCTATACCGTTATTAAAATACAGTTATACAAGAACGGCCAAAGAATACCACGCCGCAAAATATGATATTCAACTATAGACAAATATATTAATAGAGATCTCTGATAGTTGAATACAATAAAAACTCAAAGGTCCCTAATGATTTGTGGTAACTTGTAGATAAATTGTGATTCAAACGGATGATTCTTTTGAATTTCTTATGGCTATAATTTTTTAAAGTGTAATCACGGATACGTTATTTTTTTTTTAAACATATATCAAAAAATATATTGTATATCGTTCGTCATTCTTTGTGGGTAAAATGTAAGTAAGATGTAGATAGTCTGTACATTAATTTAATTTATTAACAAAAATCTTTATAAAGATATCTAATATGGAATGCTAGTGGTTCATAATTGGCTACGATATCGCATAACAGGCACACCAATAAAAAATACGATTGAATTAACAAGAATGATATGCAATTAAGAACTTCGTCAATTATAAATTTTAGTTTTACTGTTTCTTTGTTAGTTATGTTATTGCCTTATCTATTCGCCAATAAATAGCAAGATAACACACCTGACCTTTCACAACTATTATCCCAAATGGGATGTCTATGACGTGATGAACGAAACACTTAATATTCCCACATTTTCCTGGGTATATTTGAATCCTATTTGATTTGTTATCGGGTTTTCTATCACCTAAGAGTCAGTAAGAAATATATTTTTGTTATCCACCAAATTCGAACTAACGATCTCTTGTGTCTAAATCGGAATACTAAAACCTCTAGGTTACTACTCTTTCGTACGTAGTATAGAATTATGAATAGCCCCCCATCCCTCCCCCTCCACTCTCCCTGGGGCTATTAGTAAAGTGGACTGTAGTTCCCATAACTAACAATGTACCATGTCATGCTATCATCCACCACTAGTGCGTAGTAAGCGCAGGCGAATTATGAAATTAAAACAAAATTAAAAACAATGCTAATCATATTTTCTCTTCAACAGGCATAAACGGAAAGTGACCAATCTACTGCCTTCAAAATCCTCGGCTCCAAACCAAAGCGCCGGGTCTCAACGTCGAGCACCGCCGCCTGCACCCCTATACGAAGACCTTCAGGATCTGCCGAGAAGACCACCACTGCCACACAGGCCTGACTTGGAGCCTCAATTAGAGGTAAGAAAATTCATCATTTGTGCTTTTTACCATGAAAATTTATCTTGGTGCTACTTATTTCTTAATGTATTTTACGTATTTCTATAAGATCGCATTACCATCTTACTACTGGAATTATTGTTATTATATAGAAAGCATATAAAACTACTATTGCATAGCAAACACACATGGTCACGTAGCTAGGTATGGTTTTTTATTCTTTTTAGTTTTCCTTCTTTTACGCGACCACTATACCATAGCAATAATTCTGATAGTATTTTAATTTTTATTATCAACATTTATATACTACACTACTAAAGCAGAATGTATGCATCTATCTCAGACAATAGTATAAGAGTACTACAGCTCACGTATTCTAACGTCTATATCTTTTCAGTTTTAGTACCTATATTGTAAGCAACTATTTTGATCCCAACATCAAAGAAATTATCTTTAACAAAATTAATGAATACAGTAATAGTTTTATCAAAATCTTCATGACCATTTATTAAACTGTCACAAGTTTTATCATGGTGAGACTTTAAAATATCTACATAGTTATTCGTGCAATATTTCCTTCAGAAACGCAATTTACTTCAAAGTACAGTTAGAGAGCAATATTCTCACGTCCCTTCTTATTAAAATGAGATTCATATGCGTTTGAAGCTGGATTGCTGAGTTTAAATTATATTTATTAACTAGTTGCGGCATGCAGTTCCTACCATTTAATTTAAAAGAAATGTCGGTCACCAACGCACCCCATCCACCTCACGTCACCCTCCCGCGATATTACTTCGTTTTCACATTCAATCTAACTATTTTCTTTCTCTTTGACTCCTAGAGGGCACAGTAATAACTTTCCACAAGGATTCTAGTATCAAATACATAAATATTTATCTAAACTAACTAATACTTCCAGAGATTAGCACGACGTTACTTCCGTTTATAAATATATTTAGGTACATAAATTAAATGCTACTTATTCCATTTTTCAGATGGTGGAAACGAAAAGACCTAATTGTGCCGGACGAGTCTTCGTTTGTGGATCCGGTGGCACCTGGCGTGGTGGGAATTCGTGTGGGGGCGACACGTGTGGTGCACCACTTTATGAAGAACTCCCACATCGATCAGACGACTCCCTACACAGTGATGATCATTTCGCTGAAGACGAATTGAGTCTAGTTGGGGAAGCTGCACCTTGTCGGACTTGTTTGAGACCGCCCGTGCCTCAGTCTTTACCTCACCGTCCTAGACAACAGCGGTTAGACAGAAGACCCAAATCCTTAGACCGCAGGAGAGCCCAACACAGGATGCCTCGACATATCCATCCACCGGACCCTTCGGAATTCCATGAGGGTGTTTTATTGGATGCTTTATTAAGATTGTATCCACAAGTGGGTACAGTTGGGGCTAGAGCTCCAGGGCCAATGGCTGTTGGAGCAGGAGGGGCTTGGCCAGGGGGCGAATTACCTGGTATTGGATGTTGGAGAGGACCAAGAGCATCTCCGAAGCCTCCCAGCGGAGATTCTTCGTTTGGTTCCGACTCTGGTTATAGCAATAATACGTGCGGTACTTGTGGTACTAGAGCTTCGTCAAGGCACCGATTATCAGCTGAAATTCCTATGTCATGAACAGATAAAGACTTTAGTGGATGGTGTGAAATGGTCAGGTGCCATAATTCTGTCTCATTGATACCGGACTATCAATTTAAAACAGGAATTAATATAATCGTTTGTATAGTGAATTTTTTAGATTTACTCACTGGCCTAATTCGGTTAAGATGGCCTCAATTTTTCTGCCTTCTAGAACAGTGTTTGTTCAATAATTAGAAACAACTGTTCAATAATAAACCATATTACATCCTCGTAGGGACTATTTTCTACTATTCTGTACAAAAATAAGTCTATTAAAGTAGAGAACTTGGCCCTATTAGGAACTAGAGAGATTGATCCGTTTCTTTTTCTATTATATGAATAATATAATTTTGTACAAAACTACGTGACCATATTTGAGTAGTGATAGAAGTTTCGTCCTAGTAAGTTATTTGAACTAGTCCTAAAATTATCACAATTGTCGAATTATTAAAGTTGGACACATTATTGTGTTGGATAAATGCGGTGTATATCGATTTCTGAATTTGTAGATATTGTAAAAAGTAGATAAACTAATTAAGTGAAACAATGGGTTGAATTTTATAATCATATCATAAAATATTCACAATACATTAAAAACAATAGTTGTTATATCACAATTTCTGACTTTCTTTTCTATTTCTTTGTCACTGGTGCTATAACTTTCTAAATTATTAGAACACATTGTATTTCTTACAAATATTTTATGATATTTTTTTCTTTCATAACTATGTATATTGTATCAGAAAGTACAACCTTCTATAGAGTTAACAACAGAATTTCTCCTTTGTTAAATCTATACATATGAGTATGTAAAATATCAACTGCTTTATGTGAAAATTGGAAATTATGTAATAATTTGATTGTCGAAAAATTGTTTTTGTTTTCTGTTTTTATTGTATGTATAATTTATTTTTTTATATTTTGTTCCATTTTGTATAGATATAAAGTTGCAAGATTATTGTAATAAAATCGTGGAACGGCAATTCGATTTATAAAATATGAAAAGCACAATAAAATGAAAAACAAATAAATTTTTAAGAAATATTTCATTTCTTTTATTTCATAACTAATTTACAATAGTATACCTACATTATAATTGGGAAATATTTATTCTCAATTTGAAAATTAGCGTATGCAATATATAATATGCAAGATATTTTTTATCCCTTCGTAACTTAATGGGATTATAAAATCGTCATGTTCGGTCTATAAGCAATGTTTATGATAGAGTAGAGCAAATGCCATATTAGATGCCTATCAATGATGTCCACAAAGACAAAGTAAAGGGACGCAGAAGTTAGAACTTAGATCTTGTTCTTTATTATATAAAACTGGAATGACAATCCACGACAACTCTCCTGTTGTGAAGTGGTAACAGTCGACTATACACATGAACAGTATTACTGATAATGTCGTTATGTGATACTCGCACTAGCGTAGCATAATTAAATAATATAATAATAATATCTTAGGACAATTCACACAGCGCCATCTAGTCCCAACCTAATCAGGGCTTGTATCATGGGTATTAGACAACTGATATAAATATACATTTTTTTTTTTTTGTAAATTTACATTTACACAAAAAAAAATGTATACTTATATTATTTTGGCTGTTTTTCTACTTATATTAGTAATAATATAAGTAGAAAAACAGCCAGACCGTTCATCAACAATCATACTCATTACTCCAAAGTTTACACAGTGCGAGGGATCGAACCTGCGACCATTGGAAGTAAGGCGGTGTGATAAACCAACAACCGAGGCCGTTAAACCCACAAATTACAGGGTAGAACTTCTTAATCTGTAATAGTAATATTACAGAGGATTAAGATGTCACGACTTAAGTGCTATATCGCCACACTCTAATTGAAACAGCTGATACAATTATATACAAGAAGTATCGGAAATAATATGACTAATAATAATAAACCAGAATAATACACACGGCGCACCGTTTTTAGATCCCAAGCTACTAGATGAGTTGACAACTAATTTAAATAATTCGATGCTGTTCTTTTTATAAATGCATATATAATATACATAGTAAACAGTAGCTCTGAATTCGTATAATTTATTCGCTAAACATATTGTAAATAACCTCAAAAAGATCAACAAAACATAATAATTTGCAAAATCACAACATTACTATATTTGAATTAAAAAGAAATATATATTTAATCATTTACGTATGTATATAATTATAATAAAATATAATATATATGTATTTATTTCGATAATTTAACATCCCCTCCAGAGGAACACATTATACAATTAAAACTTTGGCCGTATTAAATCGCGGCTGAAGTACTACATAATATATTTATAATACAAAAAAAAATGGGATAATAAAAACAGTAGAGAAACAAATAAATTTAATAAAAAAATAAAAAAAACAGCCAGACCAATACAAACAATCATACTCATGAATCCAACTGTTTGCATCACGATAGGAATCGAACCATCATTGGAAGTAAAACAGTGCTAATCCACTAGACCACCGCGGCCCTCGAGAGTTTGATGAATCACTAGTATTTCACTTATAAATCTTGCGGGATACCAAATCAGAGTTTAGCCGCTAAATCTAAATAGATAAATACGTACAGTATTTATATAGAAATAACATTGAATTCGCAACTTGTTTGAGAACTATGCTAAACATGAATTTAATCAAGTTTGTGTTTGAAATCCTGAAAACCGTTTAATCGAATTGTTGCCCAAGAATCTAGATAATAAATTAATTACGTTTAATACAAAATTTACAATTTATGTTACTGGCTGTATCGCCGAATTAGTATGCGTAACATCACGCATGATAATTAAAAAATAAATAATCTTATATATATATATATAAATATAAACGGATTGACCGATTCTCATGAAATTTTATGAGCGTATTGATTAGAGAATCGGCCAACATCTATTTTTCATCCCCCTAAATGTTAGGGGTAGTCCACCCCTAATTTTTTTTTTATTTTAAGGCCAAACAAAGTTTGTCGGGACAGCTAGTACGATATAAAATCTCAGGCCAATTCACACAGCGCCATCTAGTCCCAAGCTAAGCAGAGTTCGTGTAATATATACTAGACAACTGATATATGTAAATACAAATATGCACTATTTTAGTAAATACATACATACTATAGATAGAAAACACCCAGACCGATTCAAACAATCATACTCATGAATACATATGTTTCTATCGTGCGAAGAGTCGAATCCGCGACCATCGTAAATAAGGCGGTGTGAAACTGTTACACCACCGAGACCATCAAAATTTTGTTTCTTTATTTGTTTACTTGTTTACTTATCTCAGTTACTACTGGTTCGAATTAAAAATATATTTAACTATTTAAAAGATTAAGTATATTATAACCGCGTAAGCGTGTCTATCTGTTTGTCTATCTACTTTTGACAACTAAACGACTAAATGGATCATAATGAAATTTGAACAAAAGATAAATTATATTAAATATTGGTATACTATATAAGTAATACTTTGTGACAAAATAAAAAACCTTGGGTAATAGCTAGGGGATATATCACTACTCTACTACCAATAGAAGCGGACCATAACTGAAAAAATGTTGCAAAAACGGAGAAAATGTGACCAAGTTACGGGATCAGTTAGTAGATAATAAGTCACAATATAACAGACGTGGAGTACAAGCTTTGCTTAGTTTAGATCTTTGCATTTAATTATTTATTATACGAGAATTGAACCCACAACCTAAGCATGAAGGCGACATAGTGTAACTATTAAAAATCAGTGTTTTGCTCACTGAGTAGCTTAAATCTTTCACATCTTTATAATACCTAATATTTTTCATATTTATTGTTTTGGAGACGAATAAAGATTTTATCTATTTATCTATATATTTTATCTATTAGGTCCTTGGTAGCTTACGTTACCAGGGTCACATAACACGATGCGATTCCTCGTGCCACCCTGACTACTTGTAAGCAAAAGGTAAGTTTTTAATAATAGAATACGCCTCGCAGTACACCGACCAGACAAATACAAATAGAGTTGTATTTACTGTACAGTCAGAGGAATAAATAACTGCATAAAGTTCAGGTTTTAACAGAAAATTAATTAAACTGTGCATCATTATGGAAAGCGTACTATTGTACAACAAAGCGGGTAGACGGATTTGTCTATTCGTTATAATTGTTTACATTCACTGAAATCTTCAGTCGACTTATAGTCTATAGACTGTGACCAAGACATTTGTAACAGTTTTAAATATCGGAAACTCATAAATAATATTATCATAGTAAATAACTCGTTAAATAGTGTGTACGATTAGAAACAACCGAGTTTAAAACTGCCATTAGTAGTTTTGGTATTTGTATAGAAAATGTAGATATATTTTTATTTATTTATTTATATAACTTCAATGCACAAAATACTAAGGTAAAAGTACATATGACGGACTTAACGCCTTACGGCATTATTTTGGTGCAGAATTATAAATAATATTTTAAACTTTATGTATAATACATGTTTATTATAGTATTTGCTATCAGAAAGAAACATTGTACAAAGTCGTCTACATGGGTATCTTCCAATGCGTCTTATTGTGCTGTCAGCCCCATTTTCGTAGGTCTTTTGATTTGAAGGGCAATATTTATCTTTTTAGGATCTTAGATTATATACTAACACTAGCGAACTGCGATTTCGTCCTCCATAATTAAAATAAAATTTCTAAAATAAAAGTATCCTAAGTGAAAGTCCCGTCAAAATTGATCTATCCATTACAGAAATTAGCAAGAAAAACAAACAATTTTTATGTACATAAGTATCTAAAATATGCATAAGCATTTAGTGAAAAGTTGTTAATTTTAAATTACAAACAGACATTACAATATAATTTATTTGTATAGATAAGGATTAAGTGTAGTACCACAGATAACATAATATTACATATACTATTATTAAGAGATAGTCTGGTTAAACACGTTATTTTCTACAAGTACTCTTTCTGCCCCACCTGGGATTGTAGTCGTGAATTTTCTATTCACTAGCTGTTACCCGTGACTTTGTCTGCACAAACTGTCAGCTCCTATTAAAGATCCTTTCCAGACTGGTTACATTTTTAATATAATTAAAGATATAATGTCTGTTCATGTAAAATTTCAGTGAGTCACAAATAGACAAAGGTCACGGTAAGAAATAGACAAACATTTTGCTACAATGATTATGAGTGTCTGACATAAGTAGATCTACAATTGTGTAAAAAGAATTTGGTATGCATAAGTATATTTTCAACATACGGCCAAATTACACGCTACGAATTTTACCATGTTAATCTGTAATGACTGTACAACGCAAAATCTTGCGTCTCTTTCTTACCGGAAACCTCAACAATCGCGCCTAAGATAGGATCTTACTTATATTACCATCCAAGAGTATTCAGTTACTGGATATGACAAATTTGATGCCTAAACATATTTGTCATTAAAATAATTCTTGTTTGATTTTGATGATTTTGATTTTATATCTCCTGATCATCATGTAATTTAAAATCAAACAAGAACTATATTAATGACAAATATGTTTAAGTATCAAATTTGTCATTAAAATAGTTCTTGTTTGATTTTAAATTACATGACGGCTCTCCTGATGGCAAGTGGTAACCGTCGCCTATATACATGAACAGCATTACGAATATCATCTTATCATATATCCGTGATACCACTCAGAGGACTAAATTATCATCTGGTGATTTAAAATTTAGTATTTAGGCATGTTTAGGCATCAATTATATATTCTGTATGTAAATTATTTGGCTTAAATAATACTAACATTATCTATTAAATAACTAACAATAATCAGCTTGGACAACTTATACAGCGCGAAGTTTAGTACAGTTAAGTAGAGTTTGTGTTATGAGAACTATACAACTGATATAAATAGATAGATACATTTTTTTGTAAATATATACACAATATACATAGAAAACAACCAGATCAATACAAACAATCATTCATGAAATACGTATTGTGCAAGAAATAAA